CTGATGTGCGAGCATTGTTGCTTTAGCAATTAGTTCCTTAACTGTGGAGAATGCTTTTCGTGCGGTGTCGTCCAAATTAATGGATTTCGCATTTCCACGAAGTTGGTCGGTCAGAGGTTTCATAAGTAATGCGCATTTCGGTATGAAACGTCTATAGAAACTTACCAGGCCGTTAAACGTGCGTACTTGCTTGACGGTGGTCGGTTCTGGGTAATCCAGAATGACCGCCACTTTGGTTACAAGGGGTCGGATACCTTGAGTATCGATAGTGTGTCCCAGAAAGTCTAATGAGTTGGTTCCGAATTGGCATTTCTGAACGTTTACGGTATTGCCATGTTTTTGTAGTCGTTCGAAAACAAGATCCAGATGCTTGAGATGTGTTTCTCTGTCCGGACTTGCGATTAGACAGTCGTCAACATACGCGTGTACGAAGTTGAGACCTCGAAAAACGTCGTCTATGAATCTTTGGAATGTTTGAGCAGCATTTCTTAGACCGAGAGGCATTCGTAAAAATTCATAGAGTCCGAAGGGAGTTATGATAGCTGTTTTCGGTATGTCGTTAGTAGCCATAGGGATTTGGTTATACGCTTTAACCAAGTCGATTTTCGAAAAGACAGTTGTACCTTTCAAGGTAGCTGTCAAATCGTGAATGTGAGGCAACGGGTAACGATCGGGAATGGTTTTCGCGTTCAATCGCCGATAGTCACCAGTTGGACGCCAATCGTTGCTGTCCTTTTTAGGGACCATGTGCAACGGAGATGCATATGGGCTACTTGACGGTCGTATGATTCCTAAATCCATCATGTGATCGAATTCGTTTTTCGCTAACCTTAGCTTTTCAGGAGCTAGTCTTCGTGCTTTAGAGAATACAGGTGGTCCTGTAGTCGTGATGTGATGTGTAACGTTGCTGGTTACACACGGTAGTTTCGGTTGAGTTTGTTGTATCCCAGGGTACTTATCTAGTAGTGGTTGATAGAGTGGGTCTATCATATGTTTAACTGTGACTGGGGATACTCTACAACCAGTAAAAGAAGTTACGCAAACGGACAAATTAGTGTTCCCGTCTACTAGCCTACGTTTGCGAGTATCGATGATCAGATTGTGGTGTTGTAGAAGGTCAATACCAATGATTGGCATAGAAACATCTGCAACAACGAAGATCCAGTGAATGGGTTTGCGTAAACCCACGTTAAGGTAAACGTACCTTTTGCCATACGTAGCGATCGGTTTTCCGTTTGCCACCTGTAAGTTTAGGGTCGATTCGTGGAGTCGATCGTTAGGATTTGCTGGGAGAACGCTAACTTCTGCGCCAGTGTCGACGAGGTAGCGAACTCTCGTTGTCACATCTGTGACGTATAACAGACGGTTATGTTCGCCGGCTACGGTTGCCGTTAACGCGTGCCGGCTTGGAAGTTTCCCGAGTTGTTTTTCGAGTCACTCGGTTTCGTGTTGCGAAAATTGCAGGGTTTCCTGCAATTTCTGGAAAACTTTCCATACTGGTTATGATACCAGCACCAGTCGGGGTTATCTGTCTCTCGTGGTCTAGAGATAGATCGCTTACGTGAAATGCTTCTACGTGGAGTGCGCGATCTCTTACGGTCGGTACGAAGACTAAGATAACGCGTGAGTGTGTGACATAACTCGGTTATATCATTCTGAGTCGTTTGAGGTTTTTCTTTGACTGAAAATACCTCGGTAGTAGAATGTTTCGTAATTTCTAGAATGCGGTCGGCAGATGCAGCTAGCTCGTCTAAGGCGTTGTTCTGGAACGAGACCAGAACTTCTTGCACCTGTTGGGAGAGTTTTGACAAGAAGGGTTGTTTGAATAGACCTTCGTCGAAAGTTCTTAGGCCTATAACCTCTCTCATCCGTTGCAACATGTCTGTCGCAGAACCGTTTTGCAGGTCGATGTTATTGAAGAGTTGATCTAACCTTTGTCGATCGGTTAGATCTCCTCGTTTAAGAATCGAGCGTTTTAAGATTTCGTAAGGGTCGGAAACATCACTAGTAAACATACTAGGTGTTACGTACCTGTTGAATTCGCGCGGTAGTGCCTTGACTACTGCGAGGAATTGTGCACGTGTGTCGAACACGCCGTGCTCGTGGAAGTCGGCTTTTGCGTAGCAAAGCCAGGCTTCGAAGTTGTCGAGACAGAAAGGCACCAGTTGAAACGAAGGTGGGGACAAGGTCTTAAGCTTGAGTACTTTGGGTGTCTGTTCAGTCATGATGAAGTATGAAGTACGATAATGAATATATATATCCAAGTAAAAACACGAAAAAAATCACAATGTTTAAAAAAAATAAAAAATAAAGTAATGATATATAAAAATCCCAAAAAGAAACAGACTCACAGTTGCAATTAGGTGTACCAGATCACGTCGGTCTCACCAATGATGATGTGACAGGTATTCAGTGTTTGACAACGCTTCTACCAGTAACACCTTCTAATATATTTCGTTCCCACCCAGAGAAATCAAAAGACAGAGTCGAGGAGATCGGAAGAGTATATTTGTCGATGACCAATATATCGGAATTCTCTGATCTAATCTGGCTAGCGATTGCGGTTGATGTTGAGCACGGCGTTACCACACGTGATCTGGTGCGGATGCCTGACCGAGCGCCTTCAGCTAGATGAGTCCACTAAAACATATGGTCAGCATCCAATGTCGAAAAATTACAGGGCTATTTATTTTGGGGATTTATTTACCGATACAGAATGATCTCAACTCATTGGTTGAAAGGATGTGCAGGTGGTCATTAGAAGTAAATTCTAACAATAGTGTGGCAATGCAATTAAATAACTGCGACGATTCATGTCACAGCACAATATGTGAAGTTGTGTTACGCAAATCAATAAACCATCAAGATCAAGGAGTCATATCAAGCAGTGATCACGAAACTACGGGTAACTGCAAGGCAGCCACTGCCAAAGGCTTTAGCGTCTTTGTGGCTATTTGCAAGGTATTTCATTACTTAAATAAAGAAACGTTTAGGGTATCATACCCGACTTTCGTGAGGCCTCGTTTGATCCAAGCACCAAACCCTTGTTTCAAATCTGGGACGGATATGCCAGAACGAGTTCAGAGGCGAAGGGCCAAAATGGTAAAAATTCTCTCTGGCCTATCGCATGAAAACGGACTGAAACTCCTCGACCTATTTCTGCCATCCTAGCGCACGATGCGGCGTGATCTAGTCTTGATCTACTTTACACTGAACAATGATTTTAGCATCAATATGTGTTATCTTTCCCTTCCACATAGGATTGATCATCTGAGAAAACGTTCTCAGGAAGTTTAAAGGCCGAGATAAAGTCGCTTGTGTCTGAAGTTCCGTTCCACGCACCAAGTAGTGGATTGCTTTAATTCTATTATGGAACACACAATATTACCACTTTCCGATACATTCAGAGAGACTAAATATCTGCAGCACTACAAATTGCAGGGATTAATATAGGTCGATTGACCTCCTATCCTTCACTGAAGACTGAAAATCGTTGAACCAGCCTTCGAATTCTGTCCAAACGAAGAACCTGTGATTGAGCATTCAGTCAAAAAGTAACTTCTAGGTCTATAGAAGCCGTATTGAAACTAGTTGATGCGATAGTACTGCTACTATCAATAGGTATGAAACATCATAACAACGCGAACATCTTAGTTTGGTTCAGGATATAAAGCAACAAACAATGGTCTAAGTGATCCATTACTAAGAAATTTTTTACGAATTATCTGGCGGATACAGACGTATATATACCAGGAAGTCAAGTTGGGATGTCTCCTCATTTGCGGATAAATCTTTCGCCTTTTAATAAAGATTTCCTTGGGGAGGCACAATACAATGAGTCTTAACTCATTTTTTCCAACTCCGTCCTTGCACGGAGTATAAAATTTTTTCAGGCTGCAAGCCCCTGCTTAAAAAGTGATTCGGACATGCTAGAAAAAGTACAGAGGGCAGCTACCCAGGCGATTCCGGGACTCCGCGTTTATCATACAAAGAGCGGCTTGAAAAACTGGACCTCTTTACTCTGTCCTATCACAGACTAAGGGGAGATCTAATTTTGATGTACAGAATACCGAGAAATGATATCGGACCTAACTTATTCTCTCTCTTTCTTCCCACTAGATCGGGACACCTTAGAGGACATAGCAGGCGAGTAGAAAAGCCAAGAACGAACAAAATACCCGTGGCATAAGGGTTTTCACACCTAGTCATCAATACTTGTGAAGATGTCACAGGTATTCAGTGTTTGACAACGCTTTTACTAGTAACACCTTCTAATATAATTTGTACCCACCGAGAGAAATCAAAAGACAGAGTCGAGGAGATCGGGACAGTGTATTTGGCGATGACCAATATATCGGAATTCTCTGATCTAATCTGGCTAGCGATTGCGGTAGATGTTGAGCACAGCGTTACCACAGGTGATCTGGTGAGGATGCCTGACCAAGCGCCTTCAGCTAGATGAGTCCATTAAAACATATGGTCAGCATCCAATGTCGAAAACCTACAGAGCTATTTATTTTGGGGATTTATTTACTGCTACACTTGGGACCTACTGCCTGAAGCAGTGGTGTCCGCAACTTCAATTGACTCTTTCAAGAGTCTGTCCTTACTACACAAGTCGGAATCGGAATCTGTAATCTAGCGAGTCACCTAGTGTCGTTCAAATACAGAATGCCCGCGGTTACTTCGGCCCGTCAAGGTCGTTATAGACTTACACATAAACTGACCTGTTCATTTGATTAGCTGGCCATTCTAGCTGTTTTTTTGATATCTTATCTGTTAAAATATTTGTGAGGTTCTCTTAAAACTGTTCCGAGCTTCGTTCCGAAGGACAGTGTGAAGTTATTTAGTTGCCAAAGGTTTCTAGTCGAAGTACTGTTGACCTGACACACCATGTAAACGCTATAAAGCTTAATAATTCTCCTCATTTCTAAAGGAGTCATCTGGAGTGTAAGTATCATCCATATGCAGTCCTTATTGAAGATTCTCATGCTGGGGATATGGTTTGCTCGATGTGTGGATTGGTTGTTGCTGATAGGTATGTTTTATCACGGTAAACATGGTTTTTGCATCCGCTTCGTGCAGAGTAATTGACGTCGGGTCTGAATGGCGCACGTTTTCTAATGATGCCAATGCCAAAGATATGTGTCGAGTAGGAGCTAGTGAAAACTTCTTGTTAGATGGGGGTGATCTTTCAACTATGATCAGTGGTCCATCACCTTCTGACTCGCGACAACTTGATGAGCATGGGAAGCCAATGTATCGAAACCGTCGCAATATATCTGCGCCTGATAGGGTACTTTTGAGTGCGTTCAGAGAAATCAGTCAAATGGGCGAACATCTAAATCTCCCCAAAAGCATATCAGTAAGTTTCATTCCTAGTTTCACGATAAGTTTTCATTGTATTTTATATGTATACCTGAAACCCATTTGGAACCATTATGTAAGAAAACTATACTGTAGGTCAATACGAAGTCTTGGACATTTGTTTTAGAGCCTTCTAAACATACAACTGTAATGGTGACCACATTTTTGTATGCCAACTTTTCGCACATTGTTCGAGACATTGTGACTAGTAGTTGTGATATTTCTGTCGAAATCATCCCTCCTATCAATTGGCAAAATACACCGATTTCATTTCATGCAGTCGTATATCACAGGATTTGTTGTTGCTGATATCTGACGCGTTCGTTGGACCGAGCGCGAAAATTTTAACCAAGGAAATGTAGTCGAATCCCATTCTGTGGTCTGTCTATCAATTAAGGGAGGAGTATATTGTGCGGCAGTTCGTTCTGTTTTATTTTACTGCTGCGAAACGTGGCCATTAAGAGTAGGAGATATTCGTAAGCTACTAGTATTTGACCACAGATGCCTTAGAAATATTACTCGCATCTGCTGGGACCACCGGCTAAGTAATAGTGAGGTTAGACGTGGGGTATTAGGGAATGATGGTAAATCAGTTGATGAGGTTGTGAGATGGTTGGGCCACGTGTTGCTTATGCCTGAACACCGATTACCACGACGCGAAATGCTGACTAGTGTTGGGGATGGTTGGAAGAAAGTTAGGGACGGCCAAAATAAAACGCGACATCAGTCCCTGAAGTCACTAACTTCTGGTCTGAGCCATGTCGGTAGATGCAGACTACTTGGTTGGGGTCCGCGTGACTATCGTAACCCATGGTTGAAGGCTCTGCGTGACATGGCTCAGAATCGATCACAATGGCGTCGGTGTATACACTCTTTGTCTTCCTTTAAACTAAGAGATTAAAATCGCTTCATATATTTCTTTCTACGAACTGATTCTTCCTGTACTATGCCCTTATATACAATCTTTTATATATTATCACCATTGACTTAACTACTCCTATGAATTTGGTGTTCATCTTGTCATGCTAATGAGGTATGGCAACTTGGACCGATGCAAATATATGCCTGGTCCTATGTTGTAGCTGACTGACTGACTGTGATTAAAATGTATGCTTTTAACGTGTCATTAGACCCCACAGTAGATCCAATCCACTTAATAGTTCATAAAAGTTCAGTTCTTGGAGTTTTATTCGTTAGACACGCACTTGGAAAAACACCTATGTACAGGATAAAAACTGCCTTACTTGTAGAGAAAATATACATGTAACAAATAAATTTTACATGCTCACGTTGTTTAGCATAACCTTCCTTCATGTTGTGTTAATGATGTACAATGTATCCGTAAATGCTATTTGTGGCGTCAGATAGCTGTTTTCACTTGGATAAACTGGCTCATCACGGATACATAGTACTTGAAATCTAGAAAACCAGCTTTACTTTTTAAAGCCAGTGAATTAACAGACATGCTTATAAGTGTTGTCAGTGATTTTCTAACAACTAAATGTTAACTTACGTCAGTTATCTTGAGCGAAAAAACCAAAAAACATTACCCACCAATTTGTTTGATTAACATCTGGGTATCTTGTACAATTAAAGGAAACTACTTATCTTTGTAGTTCCATCACCCCCATTGGATTTGTGGCTGAATGATTCTCAGTACGGATTCTAAAAGCTCAATTGTCTTTTACATCATTTATATGTGGGAGATATCCGCCTACCAATCCTCTTTTACTTAATGACTAAGACATGTCCTCTAAAATTAGAATGCACTCGTAGGTTGCTAGCACTTGACCACGAATACCTTCAAAGTATTGCTCCCATGCAGTGGAATGACTGAGCAAGCAACGCTGTAGTCAGATATAGGGTGCTGGGTGAATATTGCTAGTTAGTCGATGATGTCAACACTCATCATCTTGGAAAGTCAAGACATGTGTTACACATAACCAGTCATCACCTTCCATCTCATTATGCTTATGTGGTGTGACGATTTTGGATGGTATAAAATTTTGTCAAGTTTTATGTTAGTCATAACTTGCTGACAGGGTAAAAATTTTGGTGATAAACTGCAGTTATTGTGGTGCTGTAAGTATTTAAATTATTATGAAAAAACAGGCCGCTAAATCTTATTGGTGACTAAATAAGTTATCGTAATGTCATGCCACTAATCGTATCAGTCACGAGATGCTAATAATAGGGTTAATCCTGACTATATCCCTCACCTTCCCTCTAATTTGTGTCTTCCTACTAGCCGTCCGTATGAATCAGTCAGAACCAATATACATGTTTACCTAAATAAGCTTAAAAGAATTAGCATTCAAAAGTACCCGTGCTTAATCTCAAGATTATATTTCCAAGTGGGTGTTAAAATATCTAAATTGACAATTGCTATAGTTTACTTCCAACCATCACCTTTGTGTTCACTTTTTATTTATAAACCGATAAATATGTCAGTAAAACCCAAGGAACAGTGATCAAGCAACCTATTCTAAATAAGATCTAATTGTTCGCTTATATGTGTTATTCTAAATAACTCGAATATTTTAGTCGAAAATAATTTTATCAGAATGGTGTGGATTCCTGATAATTCCATTTTATTAAAAGATAAGTCTCTTTGTTACTCATTAAAGAAGAACCAATCTTCCTCAAGTACTTCTAAAAATCCTCAATGTAGGCCGTGAGTGGAAATTTCCTACGAGAGGCTAGATATATGTATATTAAACGAAAACCGGATGAGGGTATTCCAGAATTGTCTTGATCACTAATTCAAATCAAAATATTATTTTCAGCTTGCGGTGTCAAAAATAAGTATTGCAATAAGAAAATAGCTAATCAAACAGCGACAACATTATGTTAAGAATGTTATGGTGTTTGAAATAGTAATTGAATTTAAACGACTTAGAGTTTTTCAAAATCAATGTTCATATGTTAATGTAATCTCATCTTAATAACTCAGTTTTAAATAAGCTTTCTGTAATTGTGTTAGAAATAGTCCAAGTTGCTTTTTCCCTACATATCGTCTTTTTGAAATATTGTAGGACCATGCTAACTTGCTGTTCAAACAAGTCCATGAGACTAAAAATCTTCGAGGTCGCAGTAATGATGCCGTCTCAACTGCTTGTCTCTACATGGCCTGTCGTCAAGAGGGTGTCCCTCGGACTTTCAAAGGTGACAGTGTAATAAGTTTTTAGCCGGATATTTATTTTTTGGTATAAGACTTAATCTCACTTAATATTAAGCACACACAACAGAGATGTAGTGAAAGGATCTCAGTACATTTTCTTACTAGTTGCTTATGCTTAATCAATATCTCACATTGTATATTAATAAGTCGATGAGAAGCATTAGCGTTGCTTTTAATCTTCATATTAGCGACACATGTTGAAGTTTATTTAAATTTCCAAAAGGTTAACTAACTCATATAAAACTATGAATTCAAATATAAAGCTCTTTTTGTATTACTAAATTATCAAGCATATCAACCATTTATATTTACCTACAGATGTTTTCGGAGGCTGTTTGCTCTCATGCATGGGGACGTTTTCTTTTATGATCAACATAAACTATATGTTACTGAGTTAGAAACGCTCATATATATTTTTATTCTTAGTCTTTCTGGTGATTATCAATGAACACAAAACCATAGTTTAAAACTATCGTTTGCTATCAATCATCACGGAGTTATCAAAATGGTCCGCAATGGTGCAGGTACATTCACTTTTTTCCCCTCGGATCCTAAGTTACTTAATCATCTTAAGAAAGATTTATTCTACGAATCCATTTCTTATCGAATTATATCTTTTATACCTAATGTTTTCTGTTATCGATAATACTGTTACTACTTATACTACACTGTTATCTCGCTGTGCTGATGTAGTGTGGTAACTTGAACCCACCCATGTATGTACCAGGTTCCGTGTTATGTAAGACTGACTGACTGATTATCATTTTTCCTAATAAAAATTGCAATGCATTTCGTAATATCTCGCGACTTACTGTTAATTGCTTCTTCGGACAATAAAAAATTCTCCAACCCAGTATAAACGTACGTAGCATGACAAACAAGTTAAATTAAATATCTACTAAATACAAGGATATCTGGTCAAGATAATGTTATGTCATCCACGTCGTGAATACTTCTGTATAATATGTTTTGTGCATGTTTGTATGAGTGTGAATAATGTGATGATCTTACTGTAAATGAATTAGTTTTCTAATTTGAGAATAAGAGTTAAAATGTACTCTCAATTTTTCAGATTCTAGTACCATTGAATTGTACTGTTTTAGTTACATAAGTCAAAGCATGATAAAAGTTAATTATAAAAATGAAGTAAACAAATGTGTATAGGATTACTGAGCGCTGGGTGGCTCACTCTTATTAATGCTTGTTTCGTACTAGAACCATCTTTATAAATAAAAACAGGTAGATGACACAATATACAGCACAATAAATATTTATTTACGATGTACCAAATTTTGCATACTTTTTCTCGTTACATGCAAAGAGATTCACGATACAGATTTTTAACTGAACAGTTTTTAAAAAAATTGGAAATCCCAGCATTTCTAAACTTCATTTGATACTCCATTTCACAACTACTCATTATCATATGTATTCGATCATAGTTGTCTGTGAAGAATTTCTCACATCCTTTTGGAACACTTTATTAGTAGTACCCGGGTTCAACCGTGTGTAATCGGGCCTAATGACGATAATTTAATTAGTGTCATCTTGAAACACTGAGCTCGTTGACTCGGTCATGTTTTACGAATACCCAGTGATCATACAACTCAGTTGCTTGAGGCGTTATCATATATAACATAAGATCGAAATCAAATGAAGTCCTTTTGTAGTTTCTTATTACATTGTCAAAAATGTTTAGGTGATCTTCCTTAACTGAGAAATGTCTTTTTGTCTACATTTTTAACTGAACTGTATCTCTTATTAATTATTACTTTCCATTTACTTCGTTTATTTCATTACCTTTCTCTTCCTTCACAATGTTATCACTCCCTTTGTGCGGTGCTTTCCTTTTGGTGCCCTATTGTATTAGAACTCGTATACTGTAACTAAATAAATTGATTTCCAATGCATCAGTGTTATCCTACTGAGATGAGTATAAAGTTATATACTTTAGTTTTGGAAGTAGAATTTGGAATAGAGCAGTTAATTTTAAAAAAATTAGACGAATTAGTTGGGTCTACGTGATCTTAAAATATTAGAGATTAATTATTTCAGCTTTCCATTTTTATTATCTTGATTTTGAAATCATAGTTTACTGATGTGTGAATTTGAACTTTTATTTGTTATTATTTTATCGACATCGATTGGTACTTATATTTTAAAAACGAAGAACCGTTACAGTTCCGAGGAAGCGAAGTAAAAAACACCAAATCTGATACAAGTAGAAATTTATTCATCTCAAACACAATGAAAAATCTAATTAAAAATGTATTCATCTATATATCGATTTGTACACATATTTAATCATTATTTAGTGAAAAGTTAGGTATATGAATTGATAACAAAATCGCACATACTTCATGTCATGTTAAACATAGTTTATACAAGAATATTGTGTCTTGAATATAAACATCAAACTGAAGTAAATCATTGTTATATTGAATAATCATCATATAGAATTAAAAGTGTAAGTAATGTAAAATAAGAATCACAATGAATTAGGAATGTAATTTTGCATTTTTATCCTGTCATATCAATTATTATGACTAGTTTATGAATAAAAAATGTTTCATATTTTTCTGTCTTTTTCAGAAGTATGCGCTGTGTCACGAGTATCAAAGAAAGAAATAGGAAAAGTTTTTAAAAAGATTCTAAAAATACTTGAGACAAATGTACAATCGGTTACAGTTGAAGACTTCATGTCTAGATTCTGTGGTAATCTCAATTTGAACATTACTGTTCAAAGAGTTGCAAATGTGGTTGCTAGAAGAGCTCTTAACTTAAATTTAGTTGCTGGTCGTAGCCCAGTTTCGGTAGCAGCCGCAGCCATTTACATGGCAGCTTATGCATTAGGTTTTCGTAAAGAAAAACGAGGTAACTATCATTGTTTTCTTCATTTACTGATAGTAAAGTTTTTCAGAATTGTCAGATTTTGTGTAAATTATATTTGAAATAATTTCACCGATTGAAATTTAAATAATTTCAACGTTTCGTTTATCAAACTTGTCTGAACTTCTTTAAGGTAATAATCAAGAAGTATTCAACCATTAGTAACAAGTATTTGGACCATATCTCTATCCAATCTGTTTGTTTCATATGCACAGTTATGCTGATAGAAATTAATTTAAATATTTCATCATTACAATTATGTATTTGATGATTCTCATTTTACATATACATCGACGTTTTGAAAACATTTCCAATTTGCACATTTATTCTTCTAATAAACAAAAAGGCAAATTAACATCTATCAGCTATTAATAACATGAAACTACATATATACAGCCATACATAAAATCACTCATTCATTTAATTTCAAATTATGAATTTCACATGATTCACATCTTATTGACTCATATTTATCCTAGTTACTAAAGTCAACATCTGAATATGATTGTATAAGTATTTAGTGTAGATTTAATTGTTGAACATCAAATATTCTTTGATAATTTTGATCTTGACTATTACACTGAAGAAGTTCAGATAAGTTTGTTGGACGAAACTTTGGAATTATTTAAATTTCAATCACTAAGATTATTTCAAACATAATTTTCATAAATAACATCTGTATATTTGGTAACCAATTCCTGTCAAACTATTCGCTCAAATATTGACGAATATTCGTATATTAAGTTAGTGTTTTTAGATTTTAAAAAGAATTTAGAATTCTATGTATTTATATAGAGTTGAATTAACACAGTTTCTTTTCACAGACAAACCATAGAATATGTTATTGTTTTCAATGTTTACTTTCATGTTATGTAAAATAATCAGAGTGATAGAAATCTGCTACGTTATATGATAACGTCTTGGTGACCTACTAAACTCGGTAAGAATATTTCAGGTATATATAATCAATACATTCTGAAATCATTAATTCGATAACCGTTTCGGTTTTTGATTAATCGTTTTATCTTAAACATAGTTCAATTTTTACCAGCAGCGTTCACAAAAATATGTTTATAGATTTACATCAGAAGGGATACGAATTGGCTGGTACGCTACAAATGCGATCAGTAGTAAATGTTATTCAATTAAGTGAAGATAGCGAACATAATTATCAGGTTGAAATAGTGGCTACTGACTACTGCTGTATATTCAGTAAGGTCCATTAGAGCAGAAGGCAGGGATTAGAAGTTATATCCCTGGATACTACTCCAAACTACAGCAGTCTATTTTCTTTACCCTTGTGGAACAGTTATTTGTATCTGATTATTATTACCACTCAGACATCATGTGAACTGATTTTTTTCGTAATGGTCATTACTCATTGGTTGGTCGTTTCGTTCGATAATTGATACATAACTAAAGGTGGCTAATGCACCAATTTTAAGCAATTCGTACTCGGCTCTTAGCCACACTTTCTATGTTTGTAGGAAGGCTGCAAATGAACTAGGTGTACGATATTTTAAAACATTCTTTGTACTTCAGTTTGCTTGTGTGGTTATGGTTCAGCTTATGTATGTAAATTTTAAAAACGTAATTGTATCTAACAATATTGCCGTAGTACGTACGTTGTCATGATGAACTTCCTATTTGATTACTACATCTAGTTTGTGTTAGCAAAATCAGTCAGTCAGTAACAACGTAGAACTTCGTACGTATGTACATCAGTTCGAGTTGCCATACCCGTGTTAACAAAATATTAGTCATTTACGCCTAAATTATGTTATTAGCTAATGTAAGCTTATAAGTTTTGCATTGGACTACATGAATTGTCCTAACTTAATAGTGTAAACTGCTTAGGGCCGTATTGATAGCGTAAATAGCTGAGCTTTGATTGCCAACCAAGGTCTATAAAATGTCTTGTACTAGGTACACATATGGTGGTTCTCATTTGTAAACGAATAAATATTAACTAAAATCTAGTGCTTGGAATCCAACTACCACTCAAATTTTGCCTTTTTGCTTAGCATTGTAACGAATAATCGTTCAGTACATTTAAAAAAAGCAATTACCAGTTAAGATAGCTTAGGCTTGGAAAAAGGTGACAAAATGACACAAATATTGACCACTTTATGCTATCGAAGATACTTTCAGGTTGCAGCGTAGATAAAAATTCTCAAAACATGTACCTAAACGTTATATTACATCCAATTATTATCTGTTAATGAACAATGTGATAATTTCCTTTGTAGAAATTGGTGATGTGGCGGGATGCGCTGAGGCTACTATCACATGTACTTATCGTGCAATGCACTCAAGAGCCAGTGAACTATTTCCTGAAGATGTTAGACTTGCCATAAGACCAGATGAATTACCACTGTGATTTCATTTATTTTTCTTGTATACAAAAAGTTCATTTTCTTTCAAAGTTGATCAGTTTCTGTACAAAGTTATGATACCGTAAATGCAAAATACCAAAGTCAGTCATTGATTATTTGAGAGTTGGAATATTGTGTGTAAGAGATGGTATATTTATCATAAGTACTGTTTTGATTGGGAAGGGTTCCTATATCAGGTTCGGAAGTTGTGGTTTAGAGTAAAATGTTACTAGGGATTGTGTCAAGCATTATGATCTGTATCTTCGCGAGAGAGATGTTAGCTTTTACAATAAGGATGCATGCTAGTTGGGTGATCATACTTAACAGCTTAACAGAGATTGTACCGAATTGATTAGTTTGTTATCTTATTAACTCCAGCATTAGAACAATATGATCCAATTCTGATTGTTGTTTTATATATCTTCCGTAAAATACAACTTGTCTTTACTGATAACTACCGAGTGAAGGTATACCGTAGTATATAAGTCCAAATGTGAATTTTTTCAAATGAAGTCCTAGCGGGATTTTTAGTGACTTAGCTTGATTGTCACACAACAAACTTGAGATATAATCCGGTAGGTAACACGCAATAAAACGTTACCCATACTGTTAAGTTCGAGTGAAATTAAATTCACTACATAGGATACCTTTTGGTTTACTGGTGACGGCCGAATTGACATAAATCTTATTAGGGAAGTGCAATATACTGGAGTTGTTCACAGGCTTGAAGGCAAACAAAATATAACCTAACAAGTAAGATATTTTGAAGATTTAGTGGTATCGATTGTTACATGTGGATTAGGGAATTCCTAGATCTAACCAGTACGTACTCCAATAATCACGACTGGGTCATAACAGTGTGCGCACTTGAATGTATTGCATTAGATTTTGAATAACGCGACAGGATGTTTACGAAACAAATGTCTTATACGAACACTAAAATAAGCTTAACTGGAAATATATTAACTTGACTGAATCAACAAGTCAGTGATTGTATGGCCTACCAAAAATTCGCGAAGAATGATGTTAGTCTAGCGATTAAAATGAATTATCGTTTACGTACAATTTCATCTAAAAACTGTAACAATCAAATCACTACTTAGCCAAACGGACAGTATGCTTATGAAATGGTCTTTACTAATGTAAGTCATCATCGACAACATGATCTGTGTTACATCAAACCTATTCTCAACCAAGAGTTGACAAACTGATATATCCTACTGTCCAGAACCATATACTTTAGCACAACCCGGTGAATGAGACTCAACGATCTCGAACATGTCCGTGATGGTCCGTAAATTTAGTAAGCCGATATTTTTGTACAAACCGAGTGTGAACAAGTTTCGCCCCTCATAGTTTATTATAGTGACATGAACAAAGAATAATATTTATTTCAACACCAGGACATGCCTAAGCTCTTTTTCGAAAATTACTAAGATAATTGTTCGTAACGAACCTTTATAAATTTGAAAAGAACACAGCTTATACGAGAAATAAAACAACTGTATTTTCAATGACCAAAAACTGCGAGACGGACAAAGAATGAGAATACAGCAGTCCTTGTTGAATGTGAAGATCGCAGCATAATAGTTAAAGATAAACGATCTCATAGCAATCGCTTAGACTTTTCAAAGGATAATAATATAGTTATTTCTTACATAAGAGGACAATAAACAACAGACTGAATAAAACAGCACAATAATGAACTTGGAAACATGAGTACATACACTAAATAATTAGAAATCCAAAATAAAATAAGTTCATACAACCAAAACCCAGTCTTATCTTACTATGTGACTTGTATCTTCATTAATGAGAAGTATTTTTAAGAAAACTTTCTTTTTATAAAACAATTGAAAAGTAAGGAAGAAATGGAAAAAATACTTAAATACATATTTCTTTTATTGATTACATTTTAAAACATCTTGTCTGTTCAACTCATCAAAACTGCATCTCAACATACTTGCACACATGCTATGCCCATAGAATGCTGTGCAACACACAAGTATTCGTTGAATATCGAACAATCCATAACTTCTCCCATTTCAAATTGTCTCATTTTTTGAAACAGATGACCATGATTAACAAATCTTTCTAACAGGATACGCTCATTAATTGGCACATCGTTTTTGACTGTCAAGAAAACAAAGTGAATGAAGACAAATATTTAACATCAATGAAATAAACTTTAAGCGGCATGGGAACTAATTTGTATATATGACCGTTGATTTTCACTTGGATTACTGAGCTAATTTATACTACCAATCTTATACAAGAGATTGAGTTAATTTTGAGCAAAATAAAATGAGCTCATATTATTCTGGTCATAAAATGTTGTCCTTGATCTTTTTAATTTAAAATAACGCTAGAGTAAACTGAAAGTTTTCTTATTTAATCGTTTTAGAGATACATCTCTGCATCTGGAGTCACATTCACAACCGCGTTTGATTAACAAACAAACATCAATAGATGATAATGTCCTAAAAGCAAACAACCTTTTTTTTAAAGTTAGCTATAAAACTGAGTTTTCAAAATACCTTAATTTTCAGAAACTTAAAACACTGACATACTTGTATGCTAAGGATGCCTCAAATTATTTGTCTATTACTTTTACTAATACATAATAATTTTCATGAACAAGTACTTCTCGTTAACATTTCGAAATCATATTTCACCAAATTTGCTAACACCTGATTGGCTAGTTTTCCTCTTAATTTGCTGTATTCTTCAAATCAGTCAGTCGTAACATACAGTCCAACATAAACGTGTGATGGCACAAGTTGCCATAACAGAATAACACTACGAGATGAAGCTAACAAGATAAATAGCAAAGACGTCGAAATAATATAATTATCAGCATCACTATTTTTAAGTACGACAATGTCATTTGTATATTCTAAATGATATGTCCTAAGGTCATATCTGTTATTATATAAACACGATTCCGACCTTTAATTCCACTCTCTTATTTGGACGTACGGGTATACTGCACTTTGTGTTGCCATGCAGTGAAAGTAACTAGTAGCGAAAATTTCTCAGTCTAAATCGGTAAGGAGTATACAACAATAAATAAAGTGGCAGCCATCGAATCTTTCATGAGTGATGAGTTCAGAAATCCAGATAGATAACAATGAAAACTGATTCACTAGCCAACCAAATTACATAAAAAAACTAACTGATTCATCTAAAACAAATTTCAGAAGTTGAAATTATGTTAGTAAATCACTACATTGAAAAATGTAATATTTTTTTCATAATAGTTTTAGAGAAAAAATTTAAAGATAAAAGACTAGCGTTATAAAATGGTGAGTATATTTATTTCTTCACGCAGAATAAAATGATGACATATAGTGGTGGATATTTAAGTTACCTGTGTGTTCCAAAAACTACATCGGCGTCCGGTGCTCCTTTTGGATGATTATACTTTACCCAGCGATCACGGTTCACATTGACGGGGAATTGATGAGCCAAAACAGCATCTGGACCTCCGTAATGACCTAGTAATAAAAGTCAAATATTGAAAATTTCTATCAATAATACAGCAAAACTCATAAACTTTAACATTCAGAAACCAAACTGTTATACAAGAGAATAGGTTACAAAACGACTGTAAAAATAAATTCATGAACTCCAGATTTGAATTTAGAAAGAGCCATATAAGCTATTACTGACTAACCCCACTCCATTTCTTCTTCTTTTTGAGCTTCATGCATTTCAAGTACTAGTTGTTTCATCCGAGCCCTTTCTTCTCTCTCGGCAGCTGCAGCTTGAATATAACGTGCTGCAAATTGTACTGAATCCGGGACTGCCAATGGAATTAAATGAGGTTTATTTCCACGACGCGAAACTAGTGTAAAGGGAACAGTATTCTAAAATAGTAGAAAACAGTTATGTGATTAGTAAAACCTCTAACGAGTGTAATGTTCAGCAGTAAAATCACATATGTGAGGGCGATGCGATAAGCTTAGAGAAACAAATCAAAGTACAACATTTGATAATAAACTTTGTGCTATAATACTGATCACATTAACCCATCAGAGTAAGTATGGCAAGAATGGATTATCCTAGCATCATTAATGTCAACCAGAAAGTAATCCATTTAAGGGAAGATCTCCATATTATAAGACTACAGAATTTCAAAACATGGATATTTCAATGTTAGCTTTTAAACACATACACGAGAACGGGAACCGATGACAACTTAGATACTAGGTATAAAACATTTCTATTTGCTGAATAACTTGCTAAAATTGCCTCGAATACGAAATGTATTAACGGTACTGTTTCATTACTAACATACCGAGCAAACGAACTAACATGGTACCCATACACAATTACAGTGCTCAAGTGAATGGGATAATAAGTAACTAGCTGTGGATTAAGACGGCACAAATAAAGAAAATTTTTTACTGTAAACATTGCCAGTTTGAAATTAAGAGTTTGTAAACATAGAAAGCAAGACAAGACATCAATTCTGAAATACATAAAAACGCTCATTTATCTTTTTTAGCATGATACTATTTCAGATTAAGTGAGAGTGGTATTTCATCATTAAGCATAAAGATTTGAATGGATTTTGCTTTAACAGCAGTTTTATAAATGAGGACAGTAAATTTGAATGGTTATCACGGTGGAAAATGTATGTATACGTTTACGGGCCAGTAAATTAAGTTTGTGATCGGTTGTCCAGTTTTTTCGTACTTAGCTATTACTAGGTCCTAATATTAGCAACCGTCTATCATCAGTCAGCAATATTTCATCGTTCCTTTTGATCGAATACGAGATTTCAGTTTTCATTTGTTTTGTTTCCAATTTAATCAGAATTAATTTAAAGTTTGTAACATCCGAACGAGGGATAAATGAATGGTAATTGATAGAAATCATTTATCGACTATTATTACATATATTCTCATTGGATAATTATTAAGTAACCATAAGCTTTCATTTGACCATTGGCTACGATTCACCATTCTCAACTTATTCCCAATCTAGTAGTTACAATCTCCTGTACTCATAACCACTATTGGTTTGTGACAATTATTATTTTCCATTTTATGGTGTAACGCGGTTTGGTCTCCTTGTATAAAAACCACGTATGTCTGAAATGTACGATTCATATAACAGAGGCTGATATTTGTGTTTAGGACTCAACGGGCTGGACCAGGCCAGAAGATACTATACAGAGGACTAATAAAGATTCAACGTTGACCATGGCTGCTAGTGCTGTTTGGCACATCACTGGTTTAGCACAGGGACACGGTCACAAAAGTCGGTATTCTGACTAGCTATCTTGTCACATGATATTCGACAGGCCTTAAGACATAATGCAGTGATCCTCGTTCGAAGTAGTGCACTTAACCCATACAGCTTAAAAAGTAGTGTTAAAAAGTAACGGAAATAGAGCTCATTTCAAACAGTTTAAAATTAATCACAATAATATTACACTAAAATTATATTCCATGACCACTGCAGTCTCAACTGATTACATTTGCTACACAACTCGGCGAATTATTGACGAAATATTTAAGACATATGATTTTAGGTGATAACACACTTATGTATAAAATGTTACGTACTTGACTATCTTCACCATTTACAGCTGACAACGTATCCGAATGATTAATTTCTAAATTATCTCCATTAGATTTTGTCGGCACAGAATGAAGGGTTGAGTTATGATGATTAATCGCTTGCTGGTTAACTTTATTTGTCGATGAAATGCCATCTTCTTTCATTGCTAAACGACTCTTTGCTGCTGCTAGTTGTAGTATTTCTGGAGCAGGAAGAACATTCACACTGAGAGTTCGAGATGATGCAGGATTTGTATCAGTACTAACATTGATAGTACTGGTTACACTAGTTACTGTACCACTGACACTACTATTAATCCCTGATGTAGATGACAATAATGCTTCGGCGATCATTTTATCTAAAGCTTCACAAAATGCAGTATCCTCAGGACAATCAATAAATCGTGGCTTCAACTCATAGTTCTGATCAATCTCCTCTTCCTCTGCTTCTTTTTCTTCTGTTTTCTCCTTTATACAGTAAAAAAAAAACAATTGCCAAATCATCTAGTGATAATATTTCACAAGAGTTAATGAGAGCATACATAAATTAAAGTATGCAGACGAAATTAATTTACAAATTTGCTGAGGATGCATTATCACCAGTTACAACTTATGAAAAGCAAACCAACATCGATTAGATTGAGACTCTGTTACAGTTAAATCATTATTCAGTGGGAACACTATTAAGGGGATTTCAACAGATTTTTACGATGATCTATGTTAATGTGACAAATACTCAGTTTTAAATATTTTAACCATCGTTTTCTTACTGATATATAATCGACAAACTTGTTGTACACTGGACCTACATAGAAAAGCTTCATCTACAAAGTCTGGAATTTTGACTTGAGTAAGTGGGGTAGGGAAAAGAAGAGAATACGGGTAGTTTCGTTCACGATATTTAAGTTGGAGTAGTGAAATGATTAGCGTAGTGCATGAATGTACGAAGACTGTTATTCGCATAACGGTTTTAAACATTGAATTTTAATATATATTATGCACGAACCGAGCCACTTACCAGTGTGAGATCAATATCCTCTTGAGATTGTTGGCTATCAACGCGAGCACGACGACGATTACCATCCGATTCTATCAAGTCAGTAGATTGACGGCGTTGAGATGAATGAGTTTCACCTCCTTGTTCTTCATCTTCGTCATCCAAATCAGAATCTTCTTCATCCATAGAATACTCATCGTCACCCAGCTGGATGTCTCCTAAAAAGTTAAACAAAAACTATAGACTGCTCTCGAACGGCAAATAATTGAGACGTTTTTAGTTATCCATGTGTTTGATTGGGAATAATTACATGGACATTGATTTTCTGGATAGTCCTGTCTGAATTGGTTTGAGTGAATGAACTCTTATGTCTATATAATTAACTTTACGCTGAAGAAACACTACAATCATTTATCGTACATGAAGACACTCGCATAAGAACTTTGATCACGTTGGGCCCAACACTATTTTCAGATAAAGGAATATGGCTAAAACGGAATACTAGTGTTTCTCAGTATACCAAGAAAGATTGAAATTCGATCGATATCCACGTCTGAATTGTGTTTAGGCTTTTAGGTTTTTCTTTCTTTAGTGATTTAGTTACGTACCCGGTAATTATGGAAACCAATATTTCAATACATACTGATCAATATTACATCAAGAGAAATCAATATGATTAGAAGCCGAAACTAGTTGGATAAAAGACACCAGAGTCTCAAAATCGAACTAATACGTTAATTTAGTTGTTAACAAGACCTATAAATTAACCAATTTAGATTCCAAATATTGAATTTTACTATAATTACCTTCTGCTATTTTTTCACTGAGTGGAAAATCTTAATTACATAACCACATGTTTTTAATTGACTAAAACATCTCACAGTTGTTTACTTTGAATACAATTTACTTCAAAATAAGACGCCTTAATTTACAATAAAAATAGTCGCTAATCTTGAAAACGTTATCATACAAATAACATCCTTGCTTTCTAGATTAATTAGTTTGCGTAACAGAAATTGGGTCATTCACACACGATGTGTTCCTGATTACTTGATTGTAAACTGTGGTCATGATAATTATGGGAATTTAAACGTACTCAATGACTCTTCATGAAAGCGGTGGAATTAGTGCAATGTTAGAAAACCTTACCATCTTCTTGTTCAGCCTCTTCAGCTATCGTATCCATGTGACCAGGACCAGTTGGTCGAAGTGATTTGTTCTCTGAAATAATTTTTAGGTCTTGACCACCATTTTCCACGTTTTCTGATTCACTTGTTAGTCCATATGTAGCCTTAAGGCGTGCAAGGCGTGGCAAGCATCGGGCTTCCAGATGACGAACGAGACGTTGTGCTTCTGTGAAATTTTTTGCTCGACCAACATTACCACGGAACTGTTGTAAAGTTTCAAAATATTGTTGCTCTACTGCAACAGGAAAACGCACAGGAACAAACATAGGTAGATTAGTTTGGGTATCTGAATTAAGACCAGAGATATCAACTGATGATTCAGGATTATTTAATACCAATGAATCTTCAGAATGATTTACAGCAGGCTCTTCAACCGAAGACGTTAGTTCGCCAGTATGGAGATCTGTCTTCGTTTCAGTTACTGATTTGGCTGATAATAACTCGGCGTCGTTTTTCGACTGCACCCATATAGGAAGAGAACGCTTGAACCAGTAGTAACGCTAGAATAACAAACGTCGGTGGAAAAAATCATACATAACATGCTAATTATTCTGGAAAAAAATATTTTTTAGACGATGAAAAACTGACCAGGAGATACATAGGGTACAACGATATTTGTAAAACAAGGACAATGATCCCAAGTGAATCCTATTCACCTACTTGCAGCATCTATTCGCTTTAGTCTTTGCTTAAAATCCTAACCAATCGAAGAAATTAGTCAACAATGAAGATGCCAGTTTAATAACGCAATAGACACGAGAGCAAATCGTAGCTTTTTTGTCAAACTATCAACTTCCAAAAGATATAACCAGTGAGACAGGTACGGATATGTAATTCTCGTGTCAACGATCAACAGTACCAAAAGTGTCAGTTAAACGTATAAAATAAAATTGGTCAACAACAGTGAGATAGTAATTTGATTTTATTTGAAATATCCACAACACATATATTAATGACGATATCGAGAAAGTGCATTAAAAACTTGAGAATTTCAGAAAAATGACTGAATTAACGAATACGTTTTTGTAATACAAACCTCATATAAAAATATTGTATTCTTATTAATTTCACAACTTTCACGTATTTCAAGTAGTCAACGAACTGAGTGGTTTCAACAATGTTCAATGCATGAAAATATACTTATAGTATACACTTTAAAAGTAAATCTGAAAATCTGTAAACGAATGTTATATTACTTTTAACTTGAGTAGCGCGAACTTCATTCATAATTGAACTCATCATAATAAATTTATGATACGAATTTGTGTTAAATAATCAACTGAAGCTACTGGTCTTGCGAATATATTATTTTTATATAAGATATTTAAGATAGCGCTTATTTATTTGTTCATCCAAATACATATGTTGGTACAAAGAAGCACCAAAACAAATATGCCCCATACAATAAGGAAATGAGATTGTGACGAGATAGAGAAAGGAAAGTGAGTATAATTAGAAAAACAGAAAGTGAATAAAAAGAAGTGAAGTTAAAGATGATGAAAAAAGCCATTCAGTCAGGAAAGCTACAACCAGAAAGAATTCTTTCAGTTAGTCTCTCTCACTTTTATGAGAAAATTACAATAAAACCGCCATTACCTTCTATCCTGATGACGTCTGAAGTCATTTTGTTGATTTATCTCTAGAACACTAACCACGGGACCGCGAGTGACCGACAAATGCTAGTACTGTACAGCTTTCTTTCATACAACGAGGTTATGTCACAGACTGACCACCTGTTTCTTCCAAGTAGTCCCAGAGTTGACAAATAATGTACAATGTGAAATTTGATGGGACAATATTTGTAGTTCATGTTCAAGCCACCGAAGCCGGTGTGTCCAGATAGAGACGTTAAATGAATTATTGTCTCTGTATTCGAACACACGGTGCGTTATCAGTAAACTAAGACGGCTTACGAACTACTAAAACTACGTACAGTACTTCCAGGTTTACAACGATTGTCTAACATTGATCGATTCATGATTTTAATGAGACTCAACAATCTTCACAACGCTATCCTGTTAAAAATGAATAAATTATTAATAGGGAATTTATTTGTGGAAATCCTCAATACAAACATACAAAAAGGATTTATATCTACTCAATACGTATTGATCAATTTCTTATAAAAAACGCCTTAGGAAGCATACGTATTAAAAATTTCTTGTCTAGTAAATTATTTTTTATTTTCTTTGAGAATAAACAACAACATTATAATTACCTGAAAGTATATAAGGAATATGTTCAATTTTCGTCGCTTTTTACCCTGATCGAAGAAACTTCCAGATGTTTCAAGTAGCGTGCAAATTAATGTAATTCGAAACAATGAATCCGGCGGGTCGATAACACTTGGGAAATCAACTATAAAAATGAAGGGAAAATTGTTTCACGAAGAAATGTGATGTATTATTTGAAATAAGAGCAGCACACTCAAAACAATCATATATAACCATGTAAGTGACAATTGATATATATATATATTACGTATTTTATCAGAGATCTTGGCGAGCTACCAATGAAGCAAATATGTATAAAACAGTCGTTCTTTTTGAGGGAAATGTACACTGAGAAAAGTTTCCACTTGATTACTCTACAACTGAATAATTTATTGACTAATCCTCCTTCATCTACTGACAAGAAATATTAATCATGTACACATATTTGCATTGGTAACTTACGATCCAAGCTAACACCAAATGTGAGAAGAGAGTAAAGTGTTTTGAATATCACCGGAGAATCCACCAGACAATAGTTATACAACAAACCAAGGTATTTGACCATTACAATTCGACGCTGATTTAAACTGGGAAGGTTGAGCTGAAAAGCAAATAGAAGTGAAATCATATACAACTTTCCGAGCCTGAAATAAGGTAAACTACCATATATTCTGATGGTGAACATGTACAACTAAATACAAATTTTAAGGTCATTAAATTGATCAGAAGTGAAAATGAAACCATAGTGATTACAACAGTTACTTAACCGACTACAATGACATGATAGAGAAAGTTACGCATGGCACTCTGTTTACTTGCTTTAAATAGTTCTTAAATCGACAAACTTACGAGCACTAAACAGACTTTTGTAATAAAAAAACACCTAAAAGAATATACAGATGACTATTTTGACAGAAAAGTGTCATAAAATAACGTAACGATTAAGACACCAGAGACAGCAATAGAGAAATTACTGTCACTCAGGTCAGGCGTAAATGTATTTTATTTTTATCAAACGAGTAAGGAATTCGAATACTTCTATATCCAGTGCACTTTAGGTGGGTAGGACATTTTGGATACTGATCGGTGTGTACCATAAATGATTCATTTAATTTACATCTTTTTGTATATAGTTGAAAACTTAGAACTTGCTAACATTTACAATTGGCCGCCAGTCTTCGGTAGTTTATGAGATGCATTTAAGCCAGTGATAGAAAGAAAATTATTAGACCAAAATGTTCATTTTCGGAAAAAACCCTTTGACTAACCTCCATTCCCACACGGATATCTTCTATGACATTGTCGACAACAGCCATGGCAAAGTCCGAATGATAGGTAGCCAACCCAGATAGCACACTGGCTAGACAATTTATATTCGTATAGCGAACATCCCACGCCCTAGTGAAAAGGGTGCACGTAAATTCGACAAGCTATTGAAAGACAAAATAGCCACAAGAATGAATCAGATGTGTGTTGAGATTTTTTTCGATAAATGGTAAATCATTTAACAGTTTTCAGGAAAATCACATTGGAACGAGAGAAAACACCTAAATGGAAACTCAATAACAATAAAACTTAGCTAACTAAGACCTATTAACGAAGCACTTAAAACGCCATGCCGACAATTATGGACTATTTATTTATATCTGTTGAGTGAAAATTAGTGATACGACGTGACTGGAAAAAGCAAGAGACAGTAAATTGGTGGACCACTAAAGTATACACATGATAACATGGAACTGTAATCAGGAAAAAATGTTGCATAGTATGAAGTCAGAGAACTATTTAGATTTAGAAACCAAGTGCGGAGTCTTCAAATGATTTTCTAAGAGACTTGTCGTCAGGACTGATTGCAGTAACCGGTTAGCTTGACTGAAGTGGAATATGACTCACACTTAACAGTTAGCGAATGAAAACTCGATGTTTACATTTGTAAATCATACCCAAAACTGTGATGTCTTCATCTTGGAATAAGTTTTTTTAACTGAAGATCAACAATCTTTTTGTGACATGCTGTTGATTATTGTCAAATCAGGTACACATTAAGATGACTTATAAATTATTGTACAATGAGCTCAATAGTTACCCACAATTTTAAAGTGATTAATCTGAACACAGAAAGCGATGAAATTTGTAAAATCGTGACAGTAAAACGTCTACACTTACTTCTTGATCATCCCAATCCATTTTTCGAATTAGCCGTAAAGTAGTATTAACGGTAGTTCGGTCCAATTTCGTTAGCAAAATATGACGTATAAACATCATTTGAGGTGTCAACTTCACAGGTTCGACAATCTAAACCATTTAGAAAAAGATAGACGAATTAATGATTATATATATATATATGGACTACAAATCTACTGGACATCTGATTTACTTATTTATACAATGAAATGAAGTAGTACAAATAACTCCGAGTACTAATTACACAAACTAAAAGGTATTTATAATTTAAAAAATTCACTTTCCAATTCGTTTTTGAATGTATATTTGACACTGCTATCGTTAAAACATTTAGACACTATGCTATGCAAACTTAGTAAATGAGGCTCCATTAGAATTCTCTAACAATTTATGTGATTACTGACCGCCTTATTAATGAATAAATAATTTAAATTATTACTATAACTCAGCATTTATTACCAAGTTTTGTGTATGCTTTTTGATTCATATACGATAAACTCAAAATATTTACAGGGTAAATCATACCAACCGAACAATCAATATGAGCTATAAAAACAAAACATAAGTAAAAAGTAGTACAATATGAAAGTTAATAATGTACTGTTAGTGTTGTATATCATATTTATGAATCATAAGATACCTGGCGATTGGACGGTGGTGGATTACAATAGTAATATGTATTTTCAATCATAATAGAATAACGCTGATCCATATGTAAAGCAACTTTTTTTCTAAGCATTATTTCCAAATAAACTTTTGTACGTTTATGTGATATAGGTAAACGATAAAGAAAACGCCCACAAGTATCCAATAAAGCACAGGCCATATCGATGTTATGGTGTACAAATTGAGGAAGAAGTTGTTTTAAACAAGTCAAAGCTTGATGAGCTGGATAAATCTTAAATTTGACAAGTTCCCCTAAAATAAAAGTAATCAGAGGAAAACACTCTCGAGTTTATAAACAACTTTATTTGGAAGCATGAATAGACATTAATAACTAAACAACGCCTATAAGCGAAATCACAGAAAATGTAGTCATAAACCTTGAAACACAAATCTACCGAAGAAATGGCCTAATTTAGTATGCACATAAAATAACTGAAAGCGTGATAAATGTATAGTAGCTGCTAAGTTTAGTCTATAAGGTAATAACGGTATTTAAACATGTACAGACATCATCAACAGAGTTTCACATATGCTTTGGGGCAAGCTGATAAAATTGATTAGCATGACGAGATGAAAATAACAAGAAATCGAAATAATATAGTGTCAATGATATAAAGAAAGACTGTGCCTTAAGAATATGATTTTAAAACACAGAGTGCGTAGATATACATGAAGGCATACTGGAATTTAGGATCGAGAGGAAGATAAAAGGTGAATGGATTTGGGCTATTGTGAACAATTTTGAGCCACATTGCGCAAAGTCGCTAACCATAATTAAACCTAAGGGTATGAAACTAACCTGTAACATTTTAAAACTCTTAGTTAGACCGATTACAAATCTAATGTCATTATAGTCAAAGTAGTATAAAATCACCAAGTATACATTACCAAGTTACGAAAATATTATGTAAACTCACCAATAAATCGAACCACTTTCAATTTGGATTCGATATTTAATTGATCTCGTTTAGATAGACGCCAACGGAATTCTGCAGTAAGCATAGAATTGATATCTTGTACCAAGTCAGGCATCACTGGGGCTAATGAAGCCACAAGGCGTGCATAAAATGGTAATAAATCATAACGCGTTCTTGGAACACTAAATAAAGCTTTAGCAAGCCGTCGACGATTTGCTCGTTTATTTAAATTCAAACAAAAGTCGATAGCTGCCTGAGATGGAAATTAAAAAGGTAGTGTTTACTTCATTTAAAAACAAAGAATCCATCATTTAATCAAGTAGCTGCGATATTCTTAACACATTTTTTTACAATGTAACTGGAAATTAAGTCATTTCCTTAGATTAACATCAAAGTAAAATGCCACTTTTTAAATGGGACGCATAATATTTAAAGCCATTACCTTGGTAAGAATTGTCAAGATCATACCAAAATATATATTTCTCTTATGTGATCTACCGTGTTCTGTATCCGCTAACATTAGCAATTCTGAGGAACTACTGAATTTAAAGTGAAGAGAACACATGTAAAGACACAACATACATACATATTTTAATTTGGTATGACTATAAGTGAATTAAACCCTACAGTCCAAACATTGTCTTTTATATTTTGAGTTTTTAGAAGTACTATTCCAATCCCTTGAAGAAAATGTGTGAACCCAGAGAAATTTTGCCAATTGACTATTTTAGTAATATTACAAATTATCCGACCATTTTTATTTGGAAATTACCCTTACTTGTATACGGCTAAAGAGGTAACAACATAAAACGAATTATTCGATATTCACATGAACTTGTTTGTTTTACCGAAATTCCTAAAATATATTGTACGAGATTTCTTCCAGAAAAAGTAACACATGTAGATCCAATGACAACTGTTACCAAGTCACAAAAGCAAAGAGTATTTTTAATCTGCTGTGATTTACTAACACTTTTAACGAAAGATGGCTGTTGTTGAACGTTTGCAGTTCCCGATACTAGTCGAAAGTCAGGAATAAATACATTGTAAGATAATAATAAGAATACTAATAACTTCAATTAATACTGTCATAAAACTAGTCTTTCGATTTATGGGTGAAAATAGACTTAATATCTGAGACTTTTAAACTATGGGAAACATATTCTGTGAATTTTCAGTGAAAATTAGTGATACTAAAGACAAACTGATAATAACGTGATTTAGTGTTTGTCTACCAGAGAGAAATAAAGTATATGTTTTTTTCTGAATCCCTCATAAAACCAATCAAATGTACCGAAAGAAATTCTGATGCCGAAATTCAGAGAGATTTAGTGCAAGTTTTCAGACATAATATTTACTTACTCGATCGATGAGATCCCGATTAATGCAGTTTGGTAATTGGGTTAAAAACGTTTCCATGAGAACTTTCCCCGAAGGATTTAGATCTTCTTCACCTAACGACATGAAAAACATTGAAACAAACGTACGAATAATGACAGAAGTTATCCCCGTAAAGTGAAAAACACAAATGTTACGAGCAATAACTACTGTTGGTTACCAAAGTTATCATTAATTTATAAAGCAGAACAGGGGAGTTTATTGTAAGAAGTTAGACTTGTATATCTGAGAATTGGGTAAACGTAATTCTGAGATGTTAAATTACATCGCTATGAAATTAAAAAACGAATTTTCGAGTTTCACAGTAGACACAACGATATGTCAATGTAATTATCAGGATCGTATGATCATAAAGTAGTTTACACGCGGCAGCATTAAACCAGTTCTAAACTCCAAAGCATGAAATACTAGGATTCAGTGAGTATGTAAAACAGAAACATTCCTAGAAGTACTGTATATCATAGTTCGAACAAGTTGCACTAAAAATCCCGAGATTATGTATAAAAGACTTAGTACATTACATCTTCAAATTCTATCATGAACCTTTACAACATAAAACAGCAAATAATCACTGCATACAAACATTGTGAAAAAAACATACCATCATCGGTATTTAACAGATATGGTTTTGATTTATCAGGTATAGATGTGCAATTAGTTGATTCATTACCATCTTCTGATACTCGAATTAATGCTTCTTCTTTAGCTAATTCTGATTCAACGGTATCAATATCAATATCTACAATGAATGAAGAGAAAATTGCAATATAACATCAAAATGTTCACAGCAAGACAATTATGACAAAATTCAGTTGGTCAAATGAACAGAGCTAATGATCACAAAAATGTTAAGGGTCAACAAGAATCTTTTTAAAATTTGACATACATAGACTATTGAATTGATAGTTGTAACTGGTAACAATACTTGTTAACAAATCCCGAAGAAACATCTGGAGTCGCATAATCCCTTTTCATAGGTATTGTGTTTTAAGTCAATTAACTGGTCATAAATCATTAAGATCAACTACCTTACATTTTGTAATGCACAGTTTAGACTAGCATTCAAAAACTTCGTAAACTGGTCTCATGTTAATTGCGAAATACATTGAGGTATGTGGACATTAATATTTCAAACTAACATGGGATATGAAGGATATTGACTGGATATATATACATACAGCTTTGACTATTTTTATTGATTTATAGTGACGACTTCCTAGATGCGATTATTTTCAATGTTTACAACCCAACTCCAACACATGAGGATATTACTTCAAAGTAAGTAATCAAATACCTGTGTTCCTACATTAGTAAAATAAGTAAAGTTATCTTTTATCTATTTATATTTATTTTTATTTCACAGCTTTCTTAGTCAGGATAGGAGTTAACGACTAAATAAATAGTAAAATAACGAGTATACTTGACCTTTGGTATGGATTCTAGTTAAGCGCAAAGAACATAAATACCACACCATTGATCATTTGTTCAGATGAGGACTTTAATGAAAATGCAGTGGGTGAAGAGTTCTAGTGTAGGTGAGTTGCTTGAATGTGTGCACGTCATACCCTAAACAAAAACCAAATTATATGTCGACCACGGCATTATAAGATAGAAACTAAATCAATACTACTTGAAAATAAGACAGTAAGTAAATATTAGTTAATACTACATAGTATATATATCTTAATATGAAGTACGAGTAAACGAATTTATTGGGGGGGTCACTTAGTGATCGAACCACTTGGCTTTTAATCGATGTTGTAATCTAAATCCTGCCCTTACTAGCCGTCATTAAAGTATGGCTCAAGAAGACGCATATAAATCTGTATTTAGTGAATGATTTAGAATATTATTAATAAACAAATCAAGACGATTTTTTCAAGTATTTGATTTCGAGGTCGTGTATAACAAATTGTCGCTCAGTATGATGATGAAACAAGAGTTGAATTCATGACATGTATGCCTTATATTTTGTGCTTGATTACCCAAGCCGAGAGTAAGATTGGAAACCATAGAAAGCACAAAACGGTATATTTTTTATGAATCAGGTATGTTCGTTGAATAGATAGTGCTGTAACTTTGCTAAATATGAATCATAAATACCCAACAAAAAAGGCAACTAAATGCATTTTATATAGCATCAACATTGACAAATAAAATTCACTTAACCCAAAAATACATCCATAAAATATTATGAGGAATTTATGAAAATGTTGGATGAAAGTAAATCTTACCTTCACTTCCGGCAGGATCTCCATCCTCATTCTTTGACTGATTTGATTCTACACCAGCTTGTTCACTTTCTTTATAAAGGATCTATTAGGAAACAAAGTACACATGATAGATATATACTGGTACCGGTAATAAAGCAAAAACAGGAAACAAACATACAATTATTTCGTGGATAGTTTTCATACAAAAAGTCCCACTCACAGAAACTGACTATTGTTATGTAACTAATGGAACAGAAATGTCTCACAGGTGACTAAGCAAAACTTTCTAGAAAAAATACATCACAAAAACAATCATGAAGACAATGATTTGGAAGTTAATTGCTTTGGCAACACTAAAAGACCGTTTACACACATTGAGGCAAACAGTAAACTCATAACATTTTTCCTAGTTGAAACTATGAGGTACAATATTCCATATTTAATCGACGTTTTCAGTAGAGTAATAAAATGGATTTTTAAAAACATGTGTTAAGGCTAGCCAAGTATCACTTGTAAACGAATAAATCAAATACTCACTAGACCATATCCGAGTAACAGGATTAAAGGTTACCTAGATGTAGATAATTACAATACAAAATACAAAGCAGTAAAAACAGTACAAAAAGTTAAGAACAGGTAACTAACCGCAGGTACCATTGCTTTGATATCAGGTAGACTTTCGTAAAATAAACGTGTATCTTCATCTTCAAACAGATTAACCTCTTCATGAACAACTTTCTGTAATTTTAAATTTGATGATTAATAGATTTATCACTTACTTCGACTGAATCAGGTGCGGTCAAGTCTGACATAGATTCATCTATAAACGACAAAGATGTTATTTAATTTGAGTTGTATAATATGTTAAGCAATAAAATATTAAACTAATATGGTCAATTTACCTATCGTCAATTGTCTGGATAAATGAGTAATACAAAAAGTCAAATGAAGGAAACTAAATTTACCATACCATTATATGTAGTTAATGAGCACCTAAATACAAAATAAATCTCTTAGTAGCATTCTTCGAAAGCGTGGTCTACTTAGAGCCCCTTTATCGTAGGCTTATTTGGTGTTTAAGTCAAGCCTTTCTCGCTTGTATTTCAACTAACAATTACACCGTCTTATATGGCATGGGTTATGAAACCCACTATTTTTGTTATTTTTAGTACTGAAGTTCAAAGGAAACCTACGATAGAGTTGAACTCGGACCAATAATAACCAGATTAATTCAAAACTTAGCATTCATATACTGACCCAGGTACAAGTCTTTGAACGGAACTTAACTATCAAGCCATTTAAGTCAATAAAGATGAACTGGAACCTGAACTTGTGAGTTGGTTCCATTAACTACTGCGCTACATTACAACTTCAGCGATCAATCAACCAAGTTACATGACCGGATAACTATATCTCAATCCTATACAAACCCCTAAGTGTTGTTTATTTATGTGAAACAAGTTGATAATACTTCGTACTAATTAAACAACCATATCTTTTCTTTACAATTCACATATGGCTGAATTGAAAAGAATAATCAACTGAAATGAATGAACTCAATAATAAAAGGCAAGAAATAATAGAATATTTCAGAGACAAAAAAATACAGAATGAATATATCAGTGCCACAGGTACCTGCGCCCAACCATATTACTTAATTTATAACCACTACATTTGGTTATCAAGTGAGATCACATTACGAAGACTGCAACTCCACTGTGTTACAGACTAACAATCACCTTTTTCATTAACCGGTATTATTTTTTCAATTTGTTAACCTTGTGTTTCTTATTAGCCTGCTTCTACACTAGCCAGTATAACCAACTGGGAACAGACGATGAAAGGAAAGGAGTGACTCGTACGTGAACGACATCAGTGGATGAAGTTTCATAACCTTATTAACTAATTTACAGTGTCTATCCGACACTTATCTTTTAATACCAGCAATGCTTACTTATTAGTTGCACAACACCCAAGTAATACTTTGAAGGTATTTTTTGGTTGATATACACAAATCATTTGTATTTGGTATCCGGTGTTACGAGTTGTCTCATATATACACAATGAAATCAAACTTGCCTTTTATCATAGATGAAAAATCAAGTGGTGGATCTGCGTCCAAAAGATCAGCTAAAGTACTTAAGGACTCATGAAATTTACGACAGGCTGACATTAAATGCTCCGCCCGCTCTTGCCTCTCTTCGCTAACTTCACCACGACTTTCGAGTTGGTCCCTGTTTCCTGAGATGATTCGTTGGGTTTCTTTGACCATATTTTGTAAACGATGCATCGCTCCAGCTAGATAGTCATTGAATAGTGTACGACACTTTGCTTGACGTTCAGATGACATGAAGATGGAACGTGGAACCGGCATTTCATACTTTTCAGATAACAGTCTGCATGAGATTAAAACACATGAAATAATTAATTCATCCACAACTAACAGAACACAACATTAAATGTTATGAGCTGATTGGGAAAACCATCGTGAAGACTTCTGGCTTGAGAGTCTTTCGGTTTAACACACTAAGATCCCATTTACATAGTACTGGCTCTCCAAAGTTGTCCTAAAAGATTTCTTACATGAGTTCATAAAAAAAAGTTGAACAGCAAAGGAATATCGGAACATACGTTAGTCATTAAAATATATTTCCGTTTGAATACCCGACCGTAGCTGCTACCTTGACGCGGTGGCCGGGCTTGCCTATCGTGATGACCCAATCGGGTTATATTAGCTGGAGCATATGTTCCTGTAGGTCCTACCATGCCAGGCAGGTCGATTGGAGAACGGTAAGACTAAAAGCAGCAACTCAAGGTCTGAGGGCGAAGTCGTACTGCTGACTGTAAGGGAGTGATAGCAGTAAGTCGTTTCCCTCGGACAACCAGCATCTGCAGCTATGCTGCCTTCTCACAAGGAAGGAAGGGGTTAGAAAAGTTCGACCCTAAAAGTGTCACACCTCACCTTACCTCACGGATTTCCGTCTCCGGCGGTAAGGCCCTTTGAAGAACGGAGCTAACACGTCAAAAACCTCCCACAAAAAAGCCGTGTGCGACCGGCCTCAAGCAGTCGTCCCATGGGCACTGCAGTCACACTCCCAGGTCGGTAAGGCCAACATTAATCCAACTTCCTTTTCAGGTTCCTCAAGAAATACCCTTCCACGGTGTGGGCAGCCGGGAAGTGACATCAGCCCTCATACCCGTAACAGCACACGAAACCAAGTTGGTCACATTCGAATCCTCCCTACACCTAATACCTCTTTTATCTCCACGACTAACCCTTTTCACGTCCCTTTATCACCTTGCACCGCTAGGGCAAACGATTCGAGTACGCGGATGGTTCAGTATTAGCAGTGAGATTAACTGAGGTCTTAGGTAGAATTTGGGAACTGGACGTAATCCCATCTGACTGGTCTCAATCACTGATTGTGCCAGTCCATAAGAAAGGACAAAAGTCCTCTTGTGAAAATCACAGAGGAATCAGTTTGACAAATATAGTGTCTAAAATATTAGCTTCAATAATACTTCGACGCCTAACCAAAGCTCGTGAAGAACAGATTAGAGAAAATCAGGCTGGTTTTCGACCTGGACGTGGTTGTATAGACCAGATATTGACAATACATCAGGTTCTAGAACACAGACACACATTCAGACGCCCCACAATCGTAGTATTTCTCGACCTTAAGGCAGCATTCGACTCTGTTGATCGTAAGGTTCTATGGCAGTGTTTGTCACTGGAAGGAGTACCAAAGAAGCACATTAACCTTATAAAGGCTCTCTACTCGAACACAACTGGTAGAGTGAGAGCCTATGGCGAACTGTCATCAGAATTGATTACCTCAAGTGGTGTTCGTCAGGGCTGTCCACTCTCTCCATTCTTGTTTAACTCTGTTGTTTACGTGCTTTTGGAGATAACACTTTCCTCATCTAAATTTCCAGGGGTTGAACTTCTACCGGAAGATTCACTTTTTGACATAGAATATGCCGATGACATAGTTCTAATTGATGAAGACTCTGACAAAATGCAGTCTTCTGACCACTCTAAGCAACAATGCAAGCATGTTCGGGATGAGATTCTCCCCACCGAAATCCAAAATGTTGCTTCAGGATTGGGTTCATCGACACACGAACTAATTATTGGGAGTGAAGTAGTTGGGCGTGTCGACCGCTTTACTTATCTTGGAAGTCTCATCAGCCTTTGTGGTCGGGTGTGTGACGAAATCTCAGCACGGATACAGAAGGCTCGACTAGTTTTTGCCAACTTGCGTCATTTATGGCGTAGGCGAGATATCCGTCTATCAATCAAAGAACGTGTTCACTGCGCAGCAGTTCGCTCCGTCCTACTTTATGGCAGTGAAATATGGCCGGTAAGAGTGGAGGATATTCGTAGGTTACTAGTATTTGATCATAGGTGTCTTCGAAATATTGCTCGTATATCCTGGGACTATCGAGTAAGTAAGTAATGCAGTTGTTAGGAAACGGGTACTAGGTAAGGATGGCAAATCAATTGATGAAGTAGTGAAACTTCATCAGTTGGGATGGCTGGGACATGTGTTACGTATGCCCAACCACCGACTACCCCGACGAGCGATGTTTTATGGTGTAGGGCCCCCAAATGCCCTGGTACGGCCGAGAGTGGACTGGGCCCGCCCTCCCTCTCGAAATGCTCTCACATGGCCACGCGTATATAGCCTCTGCCAGGGAAGTCCTACTCACTGCCTTCTCGTGGCGGGGGTGTTGTTTACGAAGTTGAGAGGACGAAAAGCGAATGTCCGGCGCTTTAACCGGATCCCAAACCAATGGTGCACATGGGCTCCAGTATCCTGCGGGAACAAATGGCGTATGAACCAATTGTTGGTCACCGGCTACCATGGGACTGCGTCTCCTCACGATGCTCCACTGCCTTGTGGGTCAGACCTTTAGGTCAAAGGCTCGGGGTGTGGACCCCTAATAAAACCACCTGCTTCGGTCTGGGCACCCGAGCAGTATCACAGCCCTCACACAAATCGAATGATTTATGTGGCGCATATCTCTTTGGTGCCTCCTTGTACAAATATCTGTGTTGAAATAAATAAATAAATTATGGTGTAGGAGTAGGTTGGGAGAAAGCTAGGAGCGACCAGACCAAAACATGGCACAAATCCATGAAGTCACTGACAAGTGAACTGAGCCATGTTGGTAGGTGTAGACTACCTAATTGGGGACCGCGAGATTATAGCAACCGATGGTTAGATACCCTGAATGACATGGCTCAAAATCCTTTGCAATGGCCCAGATGCATCCACTCTTTGTGTTCTCCCGAATTCTAATCTTCTGAGTTTGTCATGTCCCTTCCTTCTTCTTTCTAAATTTATTTCACTGTATTATACTCCTTGAATAACATCTTCAAACCCTAATCTTTCCGATTACTGCTTATACTCTTACCACCTCTACCACTACGGGATTTGAATCGACCACTGCATCTCTATGCTAATGTGGTGTGGCAACTCGAACTGATGTATGTACGTACGAAGTTCTACGTTGTTACTGAGTGACTTGAATACAAGTAGCATGATTTAAAAAGTTGTATATATTCAGCCATATTTTGGAGCATGTATATGATAAAAACAACAGAGTTTCATTTCACATGGACAATTATGCCATCCATGCATTATCTGAAGATTGACGGCAACACCTGAGGGTGGATAAGAAATATATCCTAACACAAACGAATTCCCGTTGCTCACAATTGTTTATCCTAACCGGTAATATGCTGTGTAGTAGCTGATTATAGCTTGAGTAGTTGAAATACTCTCATTTTAATCCCTCTTCAGAATATATATATATATATATATATATATATATATATATATCCCTGCACAAACTTAGGAATCATCTACCACTGTTATTATTTATTTGAACACATAAATATTGATACAAAGGGGCACCGAATAAATATGCGCTATACAAGTCACTTGATTTTCGTGTGGGCTGGGATACTACCCGAGTGCCCAAACCGAAGCAGGGGGTTTTCTTAGCGAGCACACCCGGAGCCTTCGACCTAAAGGTCTGATCCAAAAGGCAGTGGAGCCACGCCAGGAGACGCAGTCCCATAGTGGGCGGTGATCAACGACTGGTTCATACGCCATTTGCTCCTTTAGGATCCTGGAGCCCATGTGCAGCATTGGTTGGAATCAGGGTTTTCCAACCTCCTTAGGTGGACCCTCCATATCTACCAACCTGGTTAATGCGCCGGACATTTAACTAATATACCATCCGATATTATGGTCGACGGATAGTATATGAGATAACATAACTCGATATAACAAGACCTGATCAGATTGCATGAATTCCACACTACACTTACCATGCTAGAAGAGTTAGTAAATGGATGTAATTAACCTAGTTTTAAAGTACCAGTAACACGATTTGACGGTCTGATAATTTGGTAGGTGCCTTGAAACAGAAATATATCTGTAAAATCCGTAATTTTTATAGCATTAGCTGACAATGTTTGTCCCTTCAACTATCGATACGCTCGTTAGCTTTCAGTCTATATATTTTTTCAAATGGCTTTCAAAAGATGGTGAAGCGTCAAAAGACAACTCAGTTTAGTGTAATTTTACAGATAAATTAGTACTCTTATGAGTATTCAAGTTACTTTTAGTATTCTGTGAACTTAATTGTGCACCATTACGATAGGAAAAATGAAAATGAATCATATTAGCATGCGAGACTGTAGTTAAAAGCCGTGAAAATATAGCTTTTTAAATTTCACATAAAGCTGAATTAATAACATGCTTAAACGTTCAATCGATTTACCGTATACGACGCGGAATGACTCCTATCCAGTCGTCACTACAATGTCTACAGAAGCTACTAATTATCCCGATATTGGAGAAGTTATCATGATCATTTGCAGTTAGAAGAGTCAATTGCCCAGCCAACAGTCGGATACCATCAGCGTCTCGAAATATTCCGACTGTATTAAGATCAGCGAATAAGGCCAAATCAACTCGTAGTTTAGAAAGATTAGTGTTCTAGGGGATCTCTTCAAAAAAATTATTTTGATTACCTTTAAATCTTTGTGGGAAGAGAATGATTTCTTCCACGCATCAAAAAACAACACTCCAAAATCTGAATACCGTTGGTACATCGCTGAACATAATTTCAACATAAAAGGAATATCAGTTAATTTTATTTTCGCTTCAACGATCGCGGTTGCGACTTCTTCGACATATTTAGAAAGATTCAGGGACTCGAACTCTGATAAAAGCGCATCTTTCTGGCTATCGAGAAAGTTTCGCTGCCAATTTTTTAAAATTCGCAAAATATTCAATCTTACCACTTTCTTGACAAAAGCAGTATTCTTTTTCAAAGTTGAATCCTTTTTTACGAAGAAGGAATCATCTGGCCATTTGCCTGCAACTGCTAAATTTTGCTCCAACAGTGTTGTTCTCAAAGACAAACGTTCAGAAGCTTCAACAATGAACTCGGTTACTTGCTTTCGCTGAAAAGGTTACTAACTAGCTTAAAAAACATACATCTATTTCGGACATAATTTGATCTTGTTCATTCATTTTTAGTTCATTTAGAAGTTCACATTACACTCCTGTAAAAAAGAGAAAAGTTTTCCACAAATCAGGAGTGGTTAAACAAAGCCACTGAGGATTGGATTGAGCTTCGTTAACATGTACATACTATTAGGGTTATGCGTGATTATCGTAACCAGTGATTAGACTTTGAATGACATTGCTCAAAATCACTTGCAATGGTGCAGGCGTATTTACTCTTTGTATTCCCCTAGATTATAAGTTTCTAGATTCCCCATACACTTTTTACTTCAATAATTTATAATTCTCCGATCGTATCTTTGATGGCTCGTTTTATTACCAATAATACTGTTACTAACTCGACTACTCTGAGGTTTAACCTAACAACGTCGCGTTGCTGTGTTAGTGGAATGGGGTAACTTGAACCGGTGTACAAAAGCACCAAGTCCTATGTTGCGTTTGACTGATTAATTACTCATTCTGTATTAGAAACGGTAAAATCTACGGTATTTACTTCTTCTTGCATGACGGAAAAGCACACAGTGACAGTGACTATCAGATAACAATTGTTGAAAAAGTTTTCCACATTGTTTGACATCTTAATTTACGTTCTTTATTGTTAATCTATCTTCTCTATAATGACGTGAAATGTAGCAACTTTAAATAATACAGATTTATGAAATGCCTTACCCTATTTTGATATCGACTAGGATATTATTGACAAGTATATTATTCCATAAGGAATATCTAACAACAAAATAACCATAAGTAGTACAATTCAAGAATATCGACTAGCAAGCTCTACAAAAATGATGTGATTATTACCTAATACTCTAGGGATGGTTACTTGGTTTTCCCAAATTTGGCCGATTTTTCCATAGAATAATAGTCTAAAATACGCTATTACGAATTAACGATCAACTGATTTTAAGTCATATTTCTGAAGAATGGATTGACCTCTGATACTCTTATAGTTACACTGTTATGCACTAGCCATCTGTTACATTTTATTGACAAGCAAAAATAACTTCCTAAGTCGCTAATTTAATAAAAAACTAGTTATGGCAAATAATAAACGGATATACTGGATAATTACTTTCAGACTATTGATTAGACTGCTGAAACCAAGCCACCATTTGCTTTTAATGGGTTCTTACCCTTAAAGTAACACTCTCCTATCATTATGATAGTTCAATCATTCATTGTCCGAGACGGTGAACATAATTTTTTTTAATGAAAGAGGTAGCTAACGCTTGAAGATGTCAACTTCACTAACCAAGAAAAAATGGGCAAAAAGTCCCAGTCAAAAACTTTAAGTGGAGTATGGAAGACCCTGTAACAGGTTGGACAGACAAATATAAACAAGTTGACATATCACGTTGACACGAGATGAGAATGAAAAGATGAATAGCAAAACCAAAAAGCATTAGTGTAGTAGCAGTAATAAAAAGAAAGACAAAACCTCGAGCACGCACGAAGGGAAATTGGAGTTCAAGACCGAGAGAGATATAGATGATGAACCACCCGACCGTTGTTGCTACCTTGGCGTGGTGGTCGGGCTTGCCTATCGTGATGAACCAGTCGAGCTATACTGGCTGGAACGATCATTCCTTAAGGTTCTACCATGTCAGACAGGTCACTTGAAGAGCGGTAAGACTAAAAGCAATAAACCCAAGGTCTGAGGGTGAAGTTGTAATGCTGACTATACAAAGGTGTGACGGCAGTAAGGTGTTTCCTTCAGACAACCAGCATGACAGCGATGCTGCCTTCCCACAAGGACGGGTGTGGTTAAAAAAAGGTCAATCTTAAAAATACACACCTCGCAATAACTCACGGATATCTGTCTCCGGTGGTAAGGTTTCAACAAGTACGGAGCTAACACAAAAATTACTCATAAAAAGGTTGTGTGTGACCGACCTCAAGCAGTTGTCCACTGGGCACTATGGTCACGCTTTCAGGTCAATAAGACCACATTTAATTCAATTTCCTTTTCAGGTACCTCCAGAAGAACCCTTCTACGGTGTGGGCAACAAGAAAGTGATAACCGCCCTCGTACTTCTAAACAGCACTCAAAACCACTGTATTCATAATCAAACTCCCTCTTCAATTCCTGTTATTCCTCCTACATCGACTTTCAACTCTAAACTTTCTCCTCAAGTGCCACCATAGCCAACGATTCTAGTGCTCAAAACTCTGTCCCAGGTCTACTGAAACCTCGCTCCAAACTACACATTGGAGCCTTCAACGTACGCACCCTATGTCAAATTGGTCAGCAGGCCTCCTTGGCTAAAACCCTAGAATCTCTTACCACTGGTGGATGCTGTGTCTCAGAAACACGCATACAGGATCCTGGTGTGGTCATCCACTTGACCTCACCTCGTCGAAACGGGGAGCTGACGAGATACACCCTCCGTGTATCTGACCACCCGACGACTAGTTATCGTGAACTGGCGGGTGCAGGCATAGCACTAAGTACGAAGGCAGAACAAGCACTACTAGAGTAGATCCCTGTTAACAGTCGCCTGTGGTATTCGGTTAAACTGCTCCGTAAGAACTCGGAAGGATATGAACACACGTTGTTACCTTTTCTTCATTTCTGCCTACGCTCCCACTGACTGCAGCCTGGATGAAGTAGAGATTACTTTTATAGAAAGCTTTCTGAACTTCTTCAAAAGTTAAACACTCAGACATAGTACTCGTAGCAGGTGACTTTAATGCCCAGGTAGGTAGCTTAAACCAAACAGAAAGACATTTATGTGGGTATCTTGGTATTCCGACTCAGTGAACAGATAATGTTGACTATCTGCTGCAGCTGTGTTCAGACAATCATTTATTTTTAACAAGCACTAATTTTAAGCATAAGGAGGGACATCGTCTAACATAGTGACCGCCTGCACTAAACCAACGATGGACTCAAAGAGACCATATTGCCGTCAGTCATCATTGAAAGGGCTCGACAGAAGACTGCCACTCGTTCGAGAGTACATGTTTAGACTCTGATCATGTTCCAATACGGGCACGCATTTGCTTACGCTTCGCCCCCGAATGCCCTGGTACGGCCGAGAGTGGACTGGGCCCGCCCTCCCTCTCGAAATGCTCTCACATGGCCACGCGTATATAGCCTCTGCCAGGGAAGTCCTACTCACTGCCTTCTCGTGGCGGGGGTGTTGTTTACGAAGTTGAGAGGACGAAAAGCGAATGTCCGGCGCTTTAACCGGATCCCAAACCAATGGTGCACATGGGCTCCAGTATCCTGCGGGAACAAATGGCGTATGAACCAATTGTTGGTCACCGGCTACCATGGGACTGCGTCTCCTCACGATGCTCCACTGCCTTGTGGGTCAGACCTTTAGGTCAAAGGCTCGGGGTGTGGACCCCTAAGAAAACCACCTGCTTCGGTCTGGGCACCCGAGCAGTATCACAGCCCTCACACAAATCGAATGATTTATGTGGCGCATATCTCTTTGGTGCCTCCTTGTACAAATATCTGTGTTGAAATAAATAAATAAATTATGGTGTAGGAGTAGGTTGGGAGAAAGCTAGGAGCGACCAGACCAAAACATGGCACAAATCCATGAAGTCACTGACAAGTGAACTGAGCCATGTTGGTAGGTGTAGACTACCTAATTGGGACCGCGAGATTATAGCAACCGATGGTTAGATACCCTGAATAACATGGCTCAAAATCCTTTGCAATGGCCCAGATGCATCCACTCTTTGTGTTCTCCCGAATTCTAATCTTCTGAGTTTGTCATGTCCCTTCCTTCTTCTTTCTAAATTTATTTCACTGTATTATACTCCTTGAATAACATCTTCAAACCCTAATCTTTCCGATTACTGCTTATACTCTTACCACCTCTACCACTACGGGATTTGAATCGACCACTGCATCTCTGTGCTAATGTGGTGTGGCAACTCGAACTGATGTATGTACGTACGAAGTTCTACGTTGTTACTGACTGACTGTTTCAAGTTATGAAAAGCTTTTATGGGAAATCCCAAATAGTGAAAACATAACTGCCTGACCACAAAGAATTATATGCTCACTGGCCTTCAATTTTTTCGCAACTAATGACATTCGAGAGTTGATTATGTGAGATGTAATTAAATTACGTGGAAATGCAGAAGAATTGAACTAAATGAGAAAAGGTCTCAACGCTAACATTAACATTGGCACTGTTAGATTGTGTATCTAGCTTTCAACTACTTTATTCAACTTAAAACTACGACACACAGTAGTTTGTGATCCCCATCATGATTCAGAATTCAAGGCACCAGTGATCACGTTTACTTTGCAAATAAGCCGAAGATTTTAAGACAAGGAACTACAATACCTTAATACCAAACCACTACTTACTCTGATATGTAATGCTAGGTAACGTAGAGGATGTAAGGAATAAAACAAGTGATGGACAGACCAGGATATGGTCAATGCGACTATTGACTGTTAACTTCAACTTCGGTGGTAATACACTAACTGGTCGCGATTGACAAGATATTTGCGGTTAGTGACTGAAGATGCTTAGAACTGTTCACTAGCTTTGCTTGGATCATTTCCGATAGTTCACTCTTTATCTTCCAGTCTTAATCCTTCACAAACCATTTTTTAATCTGTTACTTTTACTACAGGACTAAGGGACTCCTAGAATCGATGAAATAAACCATCTCGTTATTTGTAGCCATGCACTTAAACCCCGATAAAACTAGTGGCGTCAAGGATGAATGACAAGCTTGTCCGAGAGATTAGGAAAAAAGGGTTGGGAGTACACTATACTAATGAACTGATGGTAATAATATCAGAACTATTATCGTTATACTTTTAAAATGTAGGGTGTAAGGGTTGATGTGATTGGTTATTGACTGAAAAGGATGCTTAGGTCAGGATTGGACAATCTACAAGGTAGGAACAGAAGATGACTGTATCCCTGTATCACCATCAAAACCACTTACCATCAACGTCCAAAACTGCGCTAGACACATTTACGAACCAAGAGTCCCGCCAGCGCGTTTTCCTCCAGTCTTGTAAAACGTTAGTTAAAACCAACTGCTGTTCAGCTACTGCCGATGTATTAAAATAGGCTAATATCCTACTTCCCTATGTTTTAGCGCACAACCGAATCTACCGCATATAATCAAGTAGAAATCAGGTAGAAATAAATGGAAGTATTCTTTAGATAACATAACAAATACTCGCTTGGGGTCTCTACAGAGCTCTAGGTAACTTGTCCCATGTATTATTCTGAAGCATCTTCACCACTCAATTTTGGGCCTAGCTGGAACGGAACTTTTTTCTCACCTTCCCACCTTAGGAGTGCATTCTCATACAATGATGGGTTCAAGGAAAAGTACTTAGAATATGGGAAAAACTTACACAGAACCTTGAGCTCAAGGCCTCTTCACCACATAAGCACAAGGAGCATTTGATCATAACGAGTCATACTGCCGATCATCTCTCCCTTGAAAGATTACTAATGCACCCTAGTATTAATTCATATCTAGGCAGGAATAATTTAAGGTCGGAATGTGAGAAAGCACGGACAAAATATATATATGGTGATTCTGTTGATGTTTCGAAAGAGGACTTGACATTCACCTCTGTTCTAAACGTACTGAGACAGCCACCTCTTAGTCACTTCTTTTATTACTAAGTAATACTGTGTTCTTTAAGATTCTTGAAATTATTTAAACACTTTCGTAATACACACGTAGATTACAAGGACCTGATAACTAGTAATATATTCCCAAAAAGTTTCGAAATTTAGATACCACAAGTCTAATGGTGACATGACATTTCAGAAACTCCCTCATCTACCACTTGTATAAAAGTAACGTTGTACTAATGTTTAAGAAAATATTTCAATACGTGAAGTGAAAGCACAAGCCAAAATAAAGGTGATTAATCGTTCAACTCTATGATGACCCTAACAAAATAGTCACATTTTTCCAAGTTAAGCAATTTACTTTTTTCTTCATGCAGATGTATCGAAATCTTACGTTTGTCTTCTCACTCCTTCTGTCATTATTTAGAGAAAGGGGTTAATTAGCAAGAGATTAAAGTCGTGTTTTGCTTTCTGTTGTAAGTCATACAATAGGCGGTAAAAACAGTTACCTCTTCCTACTGAAATAAGTGATTTTTAGTGAAGGAGAACACAACTGAAGACAGCTGATTATATTTAGCACAAAATTACAGTTACTTAATAAAACGAAAGAACTATACTCCAATATTTCATTTGCAAAATGTTCATTAATTATTTCAGACTTCATTGTTCCTGCATTTCCATATCAATCGCTTCCTGTTCCCGTTCTTTTCTCCTCGATCTTCCCAACCTTCTGCTTCCAGACGTTCTATTCTAACTAGCGCTATATACTATTTATGTCGACATAATTAGCATATACCACACTCGTCCCCCGTTTAAGTAAGCTGTTCTCACAGTCCTTCCGGTTACCGTATCACTGTTTTCTTTGGTGCCGTTCGTGACTCGCACTGATGATGTTCTTGAAACCATCTCTACTGTTGACCAACATTTACGCGCTTCTGTTTGTCTTCTCTCCGGGTAGTGTAGACCGAGCCACGTTCCTTCGTGGCAATGCACAGTCCTTCCCACTTCGGGATCAGCTTTCCTGACCCTGATCTTGTAGAACTATGGTCTACTATGATATTAGTACTGCTCTAATAAGAGACCTAATCCTAAATTTGTAGATTTGTCATGATATAACTGCCTAATCTATAAGATCTTACGTGGAAGTCACACCATCGACTACACCAACTCACTGTATCGTATCAATTACCAATACATGATGTAGAACAAGGTTAGGCTAGTGAAGGAACAATATATTTAATATGAATAGAAGATATAAGGTAACATTCAGATGGACTACACCCGCATGGTCGAGCCATGCCATTCGATCAACTCCAGTCCATTCAATTCATTGTTCGCGCCTTCTCCATTGTTAGGTATTTCTCCGTGTTAAATATTAAATATCTATTTTCTGAGTAGTCTTGTGTTCAGCTTTGAAGATTGTGTGGTTATGGTCCAATGCCACTACAATCCCACTGCTATGTCACCCTCCTGTTATCTACATTTACCAGGTCCCTCTCTGCAAAAGGTTTCCCCGTTCCCTATTGCCTTCTTCCTTTCTTTTCTTAACCTTGTTACCGTCCACCTTTGTTATTGTGGCCACGTCTTATTATGCATTGGAAGTTGTGACTGTCTACCATACACAAGCAGGAGTAGTGGCTTATTGGTTATTCCTTGTATGGAGACACGATGTGCCAGCAACACCAATGGCAACTCTTTCTCCCAATTTTCTCCTTTCGAGGCTAACCATTCCTTTAAAGTCCTGATGTTTCAGGCCTACGTGTATCCAGTTTCAGCTCTCAATATTCCTCAAAGTTGGAGTGAAACGAATGAAATCGCGCCTTCCCGTCGCTCTTTATTTCCAGGAGGAAGAAAGGCTTTTTACTGATAGTAGGGCTGTTCTAATTTACTTATAGTTAGAAAGCAATAAGATGGTTGCTATAAATTGCGTTATTCAGTGGACTTGGGATTTTACGGTCCAGATCTTAATACGTGTTTACAGACTACCATATTAGTTGACGAGAAGCCAAAGTTCTGAAGCCCATTATTCGATGATAGCGCAAGCGAACACTTCAGCAGTAATTTATCTTACAAGTAATGCCACTTCCCAGCATGTAAAATTGTACACGAGAGTTTCGAGGTATGCAAATTCACTTAATTCTGAAAAAAATCTACAAGGTTGAGGTATACATGGTCAAAACTAGAAACGGATTAAGAAACAAACCTGAGAGACATCTGTTAAATTTCGTTAACTTGTATTTTTACAGTTGTATCAGGGAAGTTCTTTCGCCTTATGGCTCTTATTCATTTCATATTTTAAAAATTGCCAAACATTCGGCTCGATAGCTGCTCGGACACCAGGGTGGGACCATTTATTTGTTCAATCAAGGATACTGCTTACGCTCAATTGGAGTGTACTCACCAATGTGTGTTACACAACAGATTGTTTTCGCGTGTTCTATTACAGGTGACGATCAGGTAGGAATGGGTATCAGGTAACATACTTTCGCATTTATATCGCTCCCAACTATGATTTAAATTCTTCAGCAAGCTAAGGCACTTTAGAAACACCTTAAGGCGACCCTAAACGTCGTATCTTAAATAAATCTGTTACACGTTGGAGACTTCATGCCAAATTTGATTACAGAAGGCACTAGCATGTTTGATATCGGTTTCAACATTGCCTCTCCGAGCAATTCCATAAACTTATTAACCGTAGTTGGTGCGATCCTAGAACCTCAATGAGAGCGAGTGACCTGTGTATTAAATCTTATGAAAAGAGATGGCCATAATTGTCTGAAAGTAGCACTCAACCGTATACATAACTTGTTTCAATAAATTTTTAAAAAAAGTTATCAAGGCTGTAGTAGGACCTTCAAAAACAAAAGCATTGATTCTATTCAAACTCATTGGTATGACATTTTGATGCTAGCAGTTACTCTCCTTTTTATACATTGGAGAATTCAGACAAATAGTTAGAGTAAGTTTCTATTCATAGCATGAAACAAAACAGTTGGAGCGCTAGTTTCAAACACAACGCTTTCAACATTCAATACGGGATGTTAGGGAACACAATGCCTACGCAAAATAAAGAAGTATATAAATACTTCAGTTTAAATGATTTGACATTACCAAGGCGTTTTCGACCAACTCTTAACCCGCCAACCTATGTCGTTATATAGGCCTACTCCTGTAAGTTAATTTCATAAGAATGCAGGTTCAATCAATTTCTTAAACAAAAACATGTCAGTTCCGTTTCCACAACTTGATGGATAATCAATAACTCGTTCAGTGTTTGACTTTCTTGCTTTTTTAGCCCTTAACGACCAGAGCTCAATCATTATTCAGAGAAAATCTACAGACCTCACATGCTTTATTAGCTTGTACTTTTGCCTCGGTAGCATTTATCTCCTTTCCACAAATTATCGCACATGAGTAGTTGTACATGCTCTCTACATGGGAATCAGAGCTGTCAAGAAATCGGGTGGCAAAATAATGAGACAAGGATATCTGAGCCGCCAGCGGGTTTTTCAACACCATTCGGGTGTGGTACGAAGTTCTTATGCTCTATCAGACTATTAGGTGTTTATTAACCCGGCTCGTAATTCATCACACTGTGAAAAGAGGAAAGAGCCTATCTTCGAGGAAGTAAACTGAGAGTATAAACGGCCTTGAGTCTGTGACGACCGCTCTTTACTACCTAGTTCGTAACATTAGATATATACAATGTCTGAACATAGAATATTTAAAAAATTAGAAAGAATTCAGTGTCGTATCCTATGATCGAATCGACTTCCAAGGGTCAACGATATGATCGCAGCATTATATTACTAACCATGTGATTAGCTTGGTGTTAATATTCATGTTAAAGTAAGGAGGCTTTGTTCACTAAAGTCAAGAGGCTTGTTCGTTTTACACAATACAAATGCGCATATCATGTTGGTCATAACGATAGTTAATAATCGACGAACGTAAGAAAGTATTACAGTTACGCCTAATATGCATGCATATGGTCTGTCATTTGGATTTGTAACCCAGCAATCATGAAAACGATAGTTTGAGTGTGTACCAAGGTGCTGCTTTTGTACATGATAACCGCATTCTTATGGGATGTTTAGGATTGCAAGTTACCCAGACATGTGGAAAAGGTGTGATTAGACGTTTAGTCGTAACAAGTGGTTAATTCCCAAACCTGGATGGCTTCTATGGTTGGTATACGCCATTAACCATTTTTGGGGTTAGCCAAACATAAATGTCACTATGATTGTAATAACTGCCTTCAAATATCGAAAGTTCGTAATGAAAACGAAGTGGTTATAATTCTTAACATCAACGAACAATATTAATAATATCGAAAGGAGAAAATCTAGCTAATTAACTTAGTGGTTTTTAACTTATTGTATGACTAAC